ACCAACTGAGCTACAGAGTACAGTTGTCGAGCTCTAACCAACTGAGCTACAGAGGCCAGTTGTCGAGCTCTAACCAACTGAGCTACAAAGAGACAGTTGTCGAGCACTAACCAACTGAGCTACAGAGTACAGTTGTCGAGCTCTAACCAACTGAGCTACAGAGGCCAGTTGTCGAGCTCTAACCAACTGAGCTACAGAGGACAGTTGTCGAGCTCTAACCAACTGAGCTACAGAGGCCAGTTGTCGAGCTCTAACAGGAAGTTCATGTATATACAGGTACTGAATGCTAATTGCTAAGTCTTACGCCTGTATTCTAAAAGCTGACTCACACTCAAAGAGTGGAGGTTCAATCCGAGCTTCCTTGATTGTCACAATGCTGTTTTTGAATAGCTTGAGGGTTAGTGTCATACCTTACTATGTGACTACTCACCCTCCAGCTATTCAAAAACAGCATTGACTCTCAAGGGAAGCTCAGATTGAACCTCCACTCATTGAGTGTGAGTCAGCACAGGCGTAAGGCTGCGTTTACAAACCGGATAGCTTTCCATAGCGACATGAAAAAACACGTATCCGCAACTTTTAGGAACGCTATTTTCAGACAGCTGTTTGCAACGGAGAGTTATTGTTTCACTCAGCTTCTGAATGTTGTACATTCCGTATCGGATATGTGCTTTTACGTGCCACTACGGTATAGTGTAAACGTAGTCTAAGATGATGTCAATGTAAGGTGTATGGGTAAATATGAGGACATGGGGCACCTCACTCGATACAACTAATGGTTGAAGGGATTTTGTAAACACTCTAAATTTCCGATACGAAATTTCCCTCTTAAAAACATCCAGTAGTTTGGATAAAGATCCTTCGCTACGAGACATGTCATTCTTATTAAGACTACCTTCACACAATGTCGGAGTGGTAGTTTGAAAACAGCGCAGGAAAGTCACAATTAGTTGTCCCATTCACACTACGCGCGAGCGAAATTGTTTGAAAACGTCACTTTTGCTGTAACAATTTGAGCACGGTTTCTAAACGGAGCGAGATGAAAACGGAGCGCTTGGTGGCTTCGTGTCAACACAAACGCCGTTATGTTTTTGTACCGCTTGCAAACAAACCATCTCAGCTCTCAAAACAGTATAAATGCTTTTCGTTTAAATTTCTTTGTTCTATTTGAGATATTTTGAGTTTACATGAGTGCTACTTTAGTTTATAAACAAACTGTAACGGCGTGGTGTGAACACACGTAAATTCTGCCCGCATTATTTCCCTCCGGTGTAGTAGGAAAGTTGTCTAAAAGTCCCACAAAATTTGTTGCAGATTGAAGTGAAATGTGAGGCAACTGCAACACTTTTTGGCATTCACAGATGACTTTTCCAGCGTCAATTATTTAATATATATAGCTATAAATATTTTTATTATTCATCTAATCTGCATGTCATACAATCTACATGTATCTGCATTCATATACATTCTTATGCCTAAAAGCCGATTTACACTATACACACTTTTGCCTAAAACTGTCGCATGCAACCTGCTTACAACTTGAGTTGTACTGTGTAAGTCAAGCTCACAACTCATCTACATTGTCGTAGGTGATTTGTGTGCTTGATTTACACAGTACTGTACAACTCAAGTTGTAAGCAGGTTGAATGCGACGGTTTTAGGCAAACGTTGTGTAGTGCAGTATCAGAGTGTGATAAATAACATAGCGCAGGTACGCGACTATTATGCTGCGATACCTCTTTGTTTCGAGCCACGTAGGTATACGCGACACTCTTGCTATCTGCGTACTTACGTTGTGCCGGTAACACATTACCGGGAAAATTCTACTCTCAAACCATGGCTGAAAATCATTAATTATCGCACTCTGGGTTTTGGAAATATTTCCCCGATATTTCTAAGAAAAAAACTCAACAAGTACCTTGTAGTTAATATTAGAAGGATGAGTGACTTCACCACAACGTTCCAATATTGGCGGCTTGCAACAACTATCTGGCACTTTTAATTTGTAATTCCCATCAGCTACAGTCGTATTTGCTTTATTAGTACCAATACTAAACCATACAGTCTCATTCCATTGATAATATCTCGTCGCACCACAACACCAGTACTGGAATAAAAAATATACTTGAGCTTCACTACATGAATACCAAAGGCTATAGGGTTATGTAATGTATACGTTTGTAGTAAAGCGAGCATTGCCATTGTGATTGCAGTCCATTTCAGACACGGAGTCCATTTCACAAAATGTGCAGCTCTTCCATGGAACCATGCACACTAAAATATCTACATAGTACAATTACAATGTCAATTACAACTAATACTCACAATACTAAAGAAAAATAGAAGAAAAGCAGGATTGTCTAATTCTGTCTTTGAAGAACAGAATGATGTAGCATTTACATCTTCGAGAGGTACCGCATGTGCAGTAGGCTATTCCACGGCACGGTCCCTCTGTACGTAAAATGTTTCTTAAGTGATCGCTTAGATTAGCACAGTCAAAGATCGTGGGAGAAAAAGCTTTGAATTAGAGTGACGAAAATTGTAGTTGTGTATCACATTCGTTGGTGTGAATTTGCTTGAACGATAGTCGGGCACCACTTTGTTCATTGTTTTATACATTAAAATTAAGACCCCAAATTGCTGAAATGTCTTTTCTCAAGGTTGCCCAGTTTAGCGAGTCGAAGATCTCAGCTGAACAAACATTGTATAGTAGGACCCTTTAATAATCCGTGCAGCTCTATTTTGTAATTTTGAAGCTTGCATCCCAAGACTTCCCTAAATTGCTCAGACGCTACTGCAATAATCAAAATGTGGCTGGATCAACGACTTACAAATGAAGACAAGAACTTAAGGCAGGTTTCAAAATGGTCGAATTGGTGCAATCAAGATGACCCATATACAGGCGGGCACCAAACGTTCTCCTGCTTCATTTAGTATAACTTAACACTACTGTAAATGCCTGCCGGGAGTAACCTTCATGACCTCGGCAGACAAAATGTGGTTGGCATCAATTTATAACATCAATGGTACGTTAGTGAGGATAATTATACTGTTACTGTCGTTCCAATTGAAGTGTTCCTCAAATATTGATTCAATACATTACCTCAGGCTGACCAATTCATTTCGTCAAGTTCCTCGAGATATTCATACACTTCCTGTGAAAGAGCCAATTCCAAGTATTTGATCATTTCTGGTCACTTCCTT